CAAGAGGAAAAATTTTGGAAGGTGCCCCAGACCCTATCTTGGGATTTTTTTATAACACTCTAATGTACACATTCTGAAAGCCGTTTTTTCTGTTTCCCTCGAGGTGTGGGTCCACAGATTTTTTTTTTTTTGGAATTTTGGACACCTACTGTAGACTTTCCAAGGAGAGTGGCCCCTCCCATACAAACCGAGTTTTTCAAACTGCATATCTCTGGAAGTATTCGTGGTAGATCACTGCTTTGAAAACAATAGCATACTAATGAAGAAAAATTGCAGCTATTGGAAAAAAAGCGTGGCACCTCCCATACAAACCGAATTTTTCATACTGCATATCGATGGAAAAATTCATGAAGCTGGTACGGGGGTATATGAAATGAATCGCATACTCTTGGAGAAAAATGCGGGGAAATGTTTAGTAGCGCTCACATCGTTTGAAAAAGGANGGGGAATACAAAAATGTATTGGTGAAGTGGTTGCTTTAAGGAGAATAGGAGTGATAAATGTACGCTAATTTCCGAATTTTACAAAAAAGGACATAATTCAAACCCAATTTGTAAATAAATTAGTGACCAACATTAACAAAAGTGAGTGTTCAAATAATGTGTAGACCCTTGACTATAAGTGTGTGAAATTTTTTTTTGGATCGGGCCACCCCTTTGGACGGAATAGCCCGAAATAGTTGTGAGCGCTACTAAATCCCACCCAAAATGCGGGTTACTTGTCATGCAAAATTTTCCGCTGAATCTGAATATGTAATCAAAATATAATAAACTGCAGTAGTTTGTAAAACCTAGCCAAATTTCGGTTTTTAGAGATCTGAAAAAGTGCAATCACTTAATCGTATATTTTCTTTTATATAGCCGGCGGATCTCGAATTTCTTTTTGTAGTAGTGAAGCATGATATTTTCCACACGGATTAAAAGTTTAGAATCTAATCATCGATTCATCGACAATTTTGCATAGTTAAAAAAAATAGTAATATAAAAAGTTACTTTCAGTAAAAATATCGACATGAAAGAACCTGTTAACTTTTGGATTCTTGCACGTCAAAGCATGTTTATTCATTAATACAATACGGCCCTGCTAATCTAAATTGAATAATAAACGTAGAAGTTAAGAGCACATACATATAAAAAGTCTCTATACAAATTTATGATTTATTTATTATGGAGTACGCAACTTTTACTACAATTTTGAATCGCTATATCCCAGGAATTGTAATCCTTAGTAAGAAAAATGTTTATAACAGTTTTTATAGATAATTGTATGGTCTACACTTCCGTCTCACCTATTTTCATGATAAACCTTACCGTTTTGCTGGAAAATTCAAAAAATCAATGTATGTTACCTTTGACCTTGAATGGTCTTTTTTTCAAGAGTGGGATCGATGGTGACTTTAGACACTGCATTCATAATAGTGTTCGCAACATTCGTACCAATTTTAAGCTTTATACGAATTATTATAAGCTTACCCCTATTTTTTTGAGTTAACTTGACTAGGCTATTGATTTGTAGCGCCATCTTGCGAAATTGACTTTAGAGCTAAGGTCGGGAGGAATTTGTTTCATAGAATTTTATAAAGAATCCGAATCTGCTAGGAGCGATGTCGAAAAAATCGATCCATACAAATTCAACCGCCCTAGTGTACATATACATACTATATACAAATTGAATTTTACACATTTTCAAACAATCAACGCAAAAGATCTGCTGGGAAATAAATTAAAATGAATGAGTTTTTAATGTAAGTAATTTCTATTTCTATTCTATTTAAGCTCCACTATGAATCCAATCAATTGCACCAGTGGATAATTGATCTGACTCAACCCCTTAGCTTACACGCTAAGGTGTTTTTGGGTGCAAGTACAAGTGCAAGTGGAAGTGCAAGTGCAAGTACGAAGCTTGTTCGGCCGCTCTAATTGAACCAATTAAATTGCATTATGCAATATTTCAAGGCGATTGCACCAATATATGTATGTAACCCGTAACTAATGCGTATCTGCTGCTGGCCTTGCTTATGGTTTATTCTAAGGCCGCTGCGCCCACACTTTCTGTTGTTTTGTTTTGCGGAAGTATTTTCTTCTCACACTTCAAGCGCATTTTCTCCTTTAATTACAAAACAACTTACCAACGCCATTTATTATTAAAAAAATAAAAATAAAAAATACAATAAAACTTTTCACCTACGGTATTAAATTTCAAGGATCTTCGTACCTGTGTAATTAACATATTTTTCTGTTAGCGTCGCTTTAAATTCTGAGCTTTCAAGCATTACTGATTTTGAGCAGATACTTATTAGCATATTGCTTTCGCTGAAATATTTCATAGAGAGCTTTCCGAAGATGTGTAGCTTCGCTGGTGTCCTGCCTGACCAGTGATGGAATAGTAGGTGCAATTGTACTTTTGCATCCCTTTTATAATTTAAAAGTACATTCGGTACGTAAATAGCATTTTCGATACATTTTCATATTGTCCAAATAAATTTTCTTAGAAATTCTTCCTCCTGTTAATTACATGAAGCTAGTGTGGACGAATCCAGCTTGGTCACAAATCTTGTGCAGATTTATTCTCTCGAATTTTCTTTCGCAGTAAATGGGCGTAAATATTTTAGTCTTCTTAAACGAAACCAAAAAAGTCTAGTACATGATATTTGCAATTTTGTTTCGAAGTACAATGGATAATGGCATAAGTACTTACGTTCATGTTATGTCTCACCCCTACCCCCAAAACTGAAAAGTAATCTATATGTATGTATGTATGTTCCGTTAACATTATTAAATATTTTTATTTAGGTAATGTAGCATGTATGGTAGTGTACTGTGTTATTTTGTACTTGTGCATGATGTTGTGTAGTGATCTGTGTTTCAAATGATCAACATAAAAGTTCGTTATTACACTCTCATTCACATTTCCCCTATATGTATGTATTTG